GGTCATAGATTACAGGAGTGTGTGTGTGTGTGTGTGTGTGTGTGTNTGTGTGTGTGTGTGTGTGTGTGTGTGTTTGTGTGTGTGTGTGTGTATCTTATCAGATAAAAATATTCCTAAACCCAGAGGTATTTATAGCAGGCTTTCAAAAAGTTTTCTGATTGTAATGTATTATGTCGGGGTCTCATTTTTTTCTAGTTGCATGAATATCTGCCTCCAATTATTGATTGAATCTATATCTTGACTTGATTGTGTGACCCTTGGTGGTTTACATGATGTGGGGGGGAAATATTAGACCACAAAAATAAACTAAATAATAAAATTACTGACCAATGCATGACATAAAAGCAACAATAAAAACCCCAAGAAACAAAACTAGAAAAGTCTAAAGCAGCACAACAGGTAAGCAATGGAAATACTATCTTGAAAAGCTAAACAATCTTTTTAAAGTCATGAAGGAGGAAATCAGCCTGATCTCCATGAGAGAACATTCCACAAATCCAGCTCTGAATCAACAGTAACACTTTCTAGCTTAAATGGCCCTGACTATATGGACCACAGTGAGTTTTAATAATCTAGTAGGTTGAACTGGTACAGTTTAGAGGAGATTCTTCACGTACTTACGTACCAAATCATAAAGCACTTTGTAAGTAAATACTGTAGTAACCATAGAGTGAAAGTGCGTCAATTCAAGGATCAAAATTATGGCACACCAGTCATGAAATTATTACTTAATTTTTATTAAATGTTTATCTTGCCTTTATTATTTTATAAGTAATTACTTCTGTAAGAGTGTAAAGTGGGGGGGGGAGGGCATTCTAATCTCTGGGAAATGATGTACCAAAGAGAGGGAGCCACCATGGAGAAGCCCCTTGTTCTGGGTCCCACAGATGTATCTCCCTAGAGATGGAACCTGCAACATTCCTTGCCTCCCCTCTGTAGTGGGTCAGGTAGATGTAACTGGCAAGAGATGGTCCCTCCGACAACCTAGTCCCAAGCCATGAAGGGCTTTAAAGATGACAACCAGCATCTTGAATTGTACCCGGAAGCAAATCAGCAACCAATGCAGCTCCCGGAGGAGAAGTGATAAGAGAGTGCACCACAGCTTCTTAAAGTGCTGGGGCACTACCCCCGCCTATAGGGAAGCATTAATCACTGTCAGAGTCCACCTACCTGTAACATTCAGGGAAGCTTTCAAAAGCTAGGAGGGACATGGTCTAAAACATAGGTTCTTGTGCGCATACTCCCTAGGATCCTGACCACTTCCTCAGGAGCAACAGGTCAAGCCCTTCCCACATAGCAAGGCAAGAACTTGCCTTGGGAGCTTCCATCTCACCAGCAACGAAGTTGAGCAATTTTGTTTTCCAGAAGATCTGCAAATTCCCCAGGGCACCCCTTTAGGTGGAGTTCAATCTCCTGCTTCACCAGCAGGAGGTAGAACTTGCAATGTTCCAGAGTTCCAGTGTACTTGCATGCTATTCCACATTTTTTATCATACAGAACCAGGAAAAGGATTGCTAACTATCTTAAGAAAGCAGACTTATATTTAACTTCAGAAACTGATTTGTTTTACAATAACTACAGTCATCATCAGTGTTTCATTACCTGGGATAATAGACACAAAAATATTCCAATCTCCTTTCAGCTATGCTTGAAATACATGTCATTTAGCATGATATTAATGTAAAATATTGTCACTGATTTGTTATGCAAAATTTCACATGGCTAGTAGTTACTTTTGGATTGCAAAAAAAAAAATAATTTTCTTTGTAAAGACATTCTACATGCTTTTCCTTAACTCTATATCAGGCATTTCTGACTTCATGTTGTTTTGAAATCTGGAAAGGTTGACATGTAGTCAAATCAGACTGAATCTGAACAAGTTACCATCTACTTCCTTATCCATGAATTATCTTACACTGCAAGTAATTGAAGGTGGCTATCTCACAGAAAATTGCTGGGTGGTGCCATCCCATTATAAGTTACTGAAGACAATTTCAAACAAAGGCATTCCACTGAATATCCAACAAGTATTTAAATGATATCTGAATCATTTTCATTAGTTTAAACTAGTCCCTGTAAAAAATAAAAATGATGGACCGAAGAACTTTCATATGTGTTTCAAAGAACACAAAGCAACTTTTATTAACAAACTGCAGCTTTCATACATGCTTACCCTTTCAAAAATAGCAACCTCAAAATTTAAACTGCTATTTTGCACTGTTTTTTCAATTAATTTACTTTTCTTAATAAAGATTATTTAATGATCTAAACCATTTTACATATGTAATTTACACTTGATATATGTTTTGAATTCATTGTTAGTAATGTTAGGCAGCTATAACAAATGTATATAAATGAAGAAAATATAACCACCCAAAATATAACCAAAGAAACATTTCAAAATTACTTGATGCTTTTGAAGTCAGCCTCCATGTTACATATCTGTTAAGTACTTTAAATTACTTTAGTTTAAATTAGTGACATAAGGAAAACAGGAAGACAGACGAAAACGAAAGTGTGCATGCCAAATAATTGTTAACTAAACTTTTCACATATCCCAATCATATCCTATGAATTTTCAATAGAAAATTATCAGTTATCATTTGAAAACACCCATTCCAACTACAATTTGGGGAGAAAGGCAAGCTTGTTTATTATTTGGTCATGGGCACTTAATTTTAAACTATCCAGCTACATAGGCCAAAACTCAAACAGGTTTGTGTATGGTACTATAGGTGTCCTGAATCCTGCTCCAGAAACTCTTCAATTTTCAGGAGTAACAGCAAAATACGGTAACTATTATTTTAACCTTTTGATTTATTACCTCTTTAAAGCTCAATTAACTTAATTAATACATTCTAGTTCTCTAGCAAGACAAGCAATGTATACATTACTATAAGCGGGTTTTTTTTCTTAATAAGATGCATATATTTTACACCATAATATGAAGTCTTCAGTGAGCCTTATACTTTAAAATTCAACCACATGACAATACCACCTACTCTGGTGACATACTCTACATTATCATTATAGGAATAATATATTGAGCTATGCGAGACTTTGATCAATTACAATAACACAAGTAATCTATGATTATGATTTGTCCACATACATTTTCTGCTCTAGTAAGAATAAAACATTTAATGTTCTAAAAATAACTTGCAGGATGCTTAGTATTATTACTGGTATTAATTTAAATATTAATAACACAATTTTCCAGCACAATATGCTAATTTGTATTAATCATCAGTTTTCAAGAATCATAAAAGCCTCATTACGGATGAGGAAAAGCCTCATGTGGAATGTCGTAATATGATTTCATTTATAAAATATATAGGGAATGGTTGCAGTATAGCATGATAGTATTGTATAGGTGAGATACTTGCTCTGCTCTAAAGAACTTGAAGTCTGAATTTTTAGATTAGTAAGGAAAAATGAAAGTAATCAAATGAATATGCATGAATGTGTGTTCAAACTTTTGAAGTGGGTCTGAAGGGGGGGGAAAGGGAAAAGTGGTTTTAGCAAGGTATTTCAGATATAAAATGAAGGAAACGAAAACAAGCATAGTAGAAACTTTCAAGAGGATGGCAAGGCTTCTAGACAGTTATTGTACTATTATATAATACAGCTCCAGAACAATTTTTCCTTAGCTAGACTTTAAGATGAATGGATCACAACTTCCATAATGCTGGGCAATGATGATAATGGTTGTAATTCTATTCATCTACAGGACACCAAATTAGGAAATACAGTAGGTTTTTTTCAGCCTAAAATATATCTAACCTCATACATTCTTACTGTTCTCCAATCTAACCTAATTACAATTTTGTTTCCATAAACAATGAGATAACACAATCAGCATATACCACAAACATGATAAAAACTCAAAATCTTAGCTTCTGTGGAAAGTAAATACTCTTTATTCATTTTATCCCTACCGTAATTCACAGAACTAATACAACTATCGCATTTTATATATCAAAAACTTTAAATATTTATCTCTGAAGTGATACTGTACTGAAGTATATTGTATGAATGCAAAGATCTGCTTCTGAAAAAGACAGAAAGCAAAATGGAGAACATAGAGATGCCTTAGATCCGAGACCAAACTCTCATACACTACTTTGATATGTATTTAGCATCAGTATTTCAGAAATGAACTTACCAGACTCGTGCTTTCAGTAACAAAACTGCCACATATTTTTTCATGGGGGGAGGGGGAATTACTACTAACAACTAGCTGTGCAGCCTTTATATTTGTATAGGACCAGTTTTCTGTACAGATTACTGTGTGTGTTTGCAAAATTAAGGCAACTTGAAAACTTACTTCGAAACAAATTTGGGGATTTCTGAATTAGACAACATTAGCACATAATACAGTTCCTCTATTTTTGTTGCACTGCACCCCAACTCATCAATTATTGCCAAAACTAGAAAAACTGACCTATGCATAAACAGCAACTCATCCACGCTAGGTGTGGCAACAGCTAGAGTGCAAAATAAGGCAGCTGTCTCTGATAACCAAAGGCCAAGATTAAAACTTCTGAACAACATTTTACTGAAATGCCAGCCCCAAATATATGCCCAGTTAGAAAAACAATTGTGGTACTAAGGATGGTGCCTCTGGAGTTCTTTAGGATTCAGAAAAGAACGTGGGGTGGGGTGGGGAGTTAACATTAGAATAAATTTGGACAAGAGACAGATTAACCCCAAATAAAGACTGTCTAGAACAGACTCTCTAAACCTGTTATGTTCCAGATATGCTCGACTGTGACTTTGATAATGAACCAAATAGACATGCTGACTACTGGTGATGGGGCTTCTAATCACACACATCCAGGGGTGCTAAGTCAGGGGTAGAGACTTAACCAGTTCTTTAGAAGTGCGGTGTGAATGTTAGGAGGATATTAAGAGAAATGTGCTGAGAGCAAAAGGGATGGGGAGGAGAGACCATCCAAACAGACAGACATCTCAGGGAGGAAATCAAAGTCCACGTTTACCTGTTACCCGTCCCAGTGGGTGAGCCGTACTGTGCAGAAGAGTCCACAACAAAATGTGTTTAGGAATCCAGCTCATTGTATCTCCCTCCACTCTGAGGCGGCCTTCAGACACGGGATAAAAAACAGCCTGGCCGAGACAACCCTCGGGAACGAGGAGAGGCGGGCGGAATTCAGGGCTAGGGCGAAATATGACGAAGCGGCTCTGAAGTAAACGTGGGATGGTGGGGGAAAAAGAGGCCCCAGCGGAGGCAGCGGTAGTAGTTGCGGCTTGGGTACTTCTGACGTGCGTGTGCGAGTCGCTCCCTTTCTCTAGCTGTAGGGGAAACAGGAAATCTTAAAAGTTCGCAAACAGCTGGGCAGGACTTTCTTAACTCTTACAGTAGTTTCTTTTCTGGCCCTCCCTCTTCCCAGCTTCTCCCCACTCCCCGCCCGTTTCAGTATGAAGCCTCTTTAGCTCGCTCTGCGTGTCAATCATCGGCCCTCTCTTGTCTCAAGCCGTTTCTCCACAAGCTGAAGAGAGGGAAAAATAATAAATGTATGAGAAGCCTTGCCTCGGGTTAACCCGCCGCCTGGTTCATAAAGGCGTTTCAACCCCCAATCATCTCGCCCATGCTTTTCTCTCCCCGACTCAGGAAAGCTCAGATCACTATACGCCCAGGCTCAGAACCCTGTTATTAGTTCTAATATCCGCAATACATTTTGGTATTGCGCCACATGTGATACAAAAGAGAATGATCGAAAACTCCTACCTTAACGCGTATTTCCGGAGCTCAGTATTTGCTCGGTTCAAAATGGTTTGCATCAAGGTATGTTAACCCCAGATGCCATTTAGCCTAATCTGCAAGCAATTTTCCACATTTTACTCTGCCCTAGTTTCTGTATCTAATATTTATAAATCATGTTAAAGGTTTAGCAACACAATAAAATTAACATGTCTGTATAGTTAATAAAATCAATGTTGCAAATGTTGACCAAACTTGCTTACCTGATGGTAAAAGAAATAGAAGCACCATTCATTTTCATGTATGTGCTTTGGAAATGCATCTATGTACTCTAGTAAAGTTTTTAAGTCATGCTCGGTTTCCTGGTTTTTTTACAGTCGCAGCTATTTAGTTTACTTAGCCACCACACAATACAGAAATAGCCTGCTATTGCCTTTTTCAGGGATTTTTCTCTCTCGTCTAGACTATATTCCTATTTTCTAGTGTCCCTCATCAATATATTAAATAAAATGGAACCTGTTGTAGTTTTGTTCTCTTTTTGCTTCTTCTTTTGCAGACATTTCATTAGGCTAGGTAATATTTATTGCAAATATTGAAAAACGTAACAATTCAACCCAGAGTTATTTACATTCTCTACTGTAGCAAGATTTGACTTTGCCCAGGTTTTTGAGGTAAGTCAAGATAGGTCAGCTTTCAATATATATAATTCAGATAGTCAGTGGCTGTTTACCTACTGATTCACTTACAATTTTTGTTATGCTTCCTTATGATGCAAATGTAGACATGAAACATAGTAACTTGTAAATAAAGACTGTACTGGCTGCCAGTTTGGCTTATGATTTAAAGCAGTGTTTTTCAACCTTTTTTGTGCAAAGGCACACTTTTTTCATGAAAAAAATCAC